ACGCCAAGCTATTAGTCTTGGATTTATTAATAATGCAAAAATAAAGCCAAAGTAATATTTACTACATCTGCACTCATTGTTTATTAGGCTCACATCCTGATCCGATTCTTTTTTGTGCGTGGGTGCAGATGCGCCCACGTAAAGCCAATTCGCCAAACATGGCTCGTCGTCTCGGCCAGTTTTTTTTTGCAGGCGCGCATGACAGATGTTCATTAGCTTCCAATTAGTGAAGACCACCTAGTGAGTGATGACCTCCATCTATCAGTGTATCTTTCAATTTCCATGTTTTAAACCAGCACCACAGCTGAGACACAGACACCACTGCTCCGTCACATAGTGAATAATGCATGAACTCATGGTGTTCAATAAGGGCTCTAGAGAGACAGAGATGGATGTAGGAGAGACAGGAAGTGAACAATAAGGGGCAGCATGCGGCAGAAAGCAGCAGGGTGTGTTTATGTGGGACCCAGGGGAGAGATTCAGAAACAAAAAAAGGGATGGTCTCCCTCCGCTGTGGTCGCTCGTTGATGTTGATATGCTCGGTTTAAAATAATTAAAAATCAAAAATCACACGGTTGAAAACACATTGTAAAACCTAATCCCCTAAAGCCAGAAATGCAACGGTTTGGTCCATGCGTGTCAGATCAGACATTAAAAACAACCCCCTTTTGATTTCCTGCATTTCACCCCGGATGGTAGGGTAAACTATATCTCATGGCATCGCGTGCGCATGTGTGTGTGTGAGTTTATTGGGTTTTGATCGTGTGTATTTGCTCCTATCACAGATTAGTGAACCCCATAACCAATTGGAATTAATCAGAGCTGGGGATTGGGGCCAGAGAATAATCCCACTGTTGAGTTTGGCTGCTCTTCCTAAACATCAAAGACATCCTGCCCAGTATGGCTGAATCATACCGACACGATAACCAGAAGCCTCTCTCCTCATCAGCAGAGTGCGGCACACAAGGGAGGGACCGCTGCTGCTGACGAGCTGACACGAGTGTCACCCACCCTCCTGCAGGCAAAATCCAATACCATGTGAAATACTCAGGCAAAATTCTCTGTTTTTGCCTTTGTTTGTCTGTTGTGCACTCTCAGAGGTCAACTGGGTGTGTCCCGTACGTCCCATGTCAGCAAGATTACTCCCTCTGGACAATGTAACGTAACCAGGACGGACACTGTCTCTGGTTTGTGAAGAGAGCAGTCAGAGCCTCTGCTGACGAGTGTCTGATTTGTTTGTGTGGATAAGGGAACAACGTAGCGAAGAAGGGAAGGACACAGGATTAGACGGAGGCCGCTGAGGCATGTTTTACCACGATATGGGCCGCTTTGCACAAGAAATATAAATCCACCCTTTACGGTCTCGCTTTCTCCTGAGGTCTCCTTACGTGTGCGCAAACACAGCTCATCGAAGGGTTTTCTTCCTATCATAATGTGTTTGTTGGTGGATTAAAGTGAGGGAGAGAAAAACAAATTTATCTAGCACCAGGTGCGAAACACTTCTGCTGTTTCTTATAACCCTTTCCTTTCTCCCGCACACCGGGGCTAAGGGATTTAGTGTGTCTGTGTGGGCGAGAGAGAGAGAGAGAGAGAGAGAGAGAGAGAGAGAGAGAGCTTTACGGGGGAAAGGGAGAGGAGAGGAGAGGTGCAAGAGAACAAGAGGGGAGGGAACCTGAGCTCTGTCTCTGAGCAACATTCTGCATAGCAGGAAGGGAAAGGAGGACACACGGGAGGGAGGGGGGAGGGAAAGGGGAGGGAGGGGGGAGAGAGGTTGTCTCTGCATAGCAGCAAACTGCACTGGGTCACACACCCTCTGCTGCAGCTGTGGCTCCAAGCCACCACCATTAAACATTTACATCCGGGCAGCAGGGAGGTGGGCAGAGAGTAGTATGAGATAATGCATCTGATAAATTGTATAATTAAGGCATTCTGGATGATGACGGCTAATGACTCAACTATTTGCTTATACTTCATAACACAGTCCCTTGCAGACGATGCTCGGAAATACTATAATAATCAATATTTAAATGATCTACTGAGGAGTTCCGTGAATGTTTCCCATTTGCTCAGATCAGATACCGAGTACATGGAGAATGCGTCACTCCAAGTCATGCACGTTTCTCATTTTGTCTCTGATAAGAAAAGATTCCGTTAGTGGATTGGTTATAAATATGCTACAGATCAATGTAATTTCCACCGCGCCGTAATCATAACAGCGTAAAACGTATTCATTCTTAGAATTCTAACCAAGTGAGTGGCGGGTATTGAGATGGTCCTAATCCTTTAAAAAGGCCTTCCATTACCAGGGAAAATAGCATGTATGTGACCCAAAGGGAAAACTTGATGAATAGAATACCAGATGAATAGAATAGAATAGATCCAGATGGTAAAAACTGTAATTTAGAAGGCAGGGCTCTAGTGGGTGGGTGAAGCGATGTGTATGAAGAATTGTGACTTGCAGTACAATGTTATGTTTATACAGCTTGTCACAAACACACATACACCAACAGACAATTATTTCCACACGCACATACTTTCTGACATCCATATCAACACCCGTAGGAGCCATTGGTTATGTCTGTGTATGATGTGTTTAAATTTGGAGCCAATCTCAGGTTGACCTCGGGTGGCGGTGTGTGTTAGTGTGGCTGGTAGTTCACATTTGGGGCACAGGTGCAACTGACACAAGTAATGATGCATGGGTGAGGGCAAAATCACACACAGACACAAAGAGGGAGACCAGGAAGCTAAGGGATGTTGAGTTGTATTGTAATTCTTTGTAAAGGCGAGTAAGGAACAGGATCTTCTCCTGCACCCAGCCGAGTGGCTTACTGAAATGACTCATTTCAACACCTATGCATTATTTTAGTTGTATAATTTGCCCCTAGTGGAAATAGCACATTTTATTCACCACAGAGAATGGTGTAAAATAGTAAAAACTACGATGATAATGATTTTGAAGCCAGAGCTCTAGATTAAAAGCCTGAGATTATATAAAACACTCGTTTATTCTGTAATGGCTGTGGGAACCAAATGTGTGGAACATTTTTTAACTTAAGATGTGTCTTTATTTTGGCACAGTTTAATATGAACATTTTTGGAAGCTGAGGATAAACTTCTAAAACTTCAACTAACTAAAAACCACCACTTCCTGCCTGTATTACCTGCAGATGATGTATTAATGAACTTTTACCCAAAGCAGGCTTAGAAAAGCAAGACAGGAAGGCACCCGTCTTTCCAAAGGTTTAGAAGTCATACAAATATAGTGCTACAATATTTGCACTTAGTAAACAGTAAAACAACATGCACTGTACTAATGTCCATTTACATTCTCACAAAACATGCAGGGAACGTCCAAATTTCAATATAAGAAACCACATAACAACAAAGGAGGGGCTCACCTTCTCATATGGATCAGAGTCATAGTTGAGTCCAATCCCGCAGTCGTCTGTGATTTCAGAGAGATCTTCATCATCAAACTCCTCCAGGCTGATGTCGTGGGCCGGCCTGGAAACACACGAGACAGCACGTTGACTACGTGCTGTGAGGAAGAACACTGACACAGGAAACACGTCTGTCCCACCGGTGAACTCTCCAGAGGAAAACGTCTCGTCGAGTTTATGCCCACACACTGAGACGTGCTGCAACTGAGGGGCCGCCACTGTCTACATGTACCGGACAGAGGCAGCCACACAGCCACGTCCTCTGTCTTCTCTTCCCTCATAACAATCCACACTGACAAGATGTCAGTGGTGCAGCAACCGCAACACAATTGAAATTGTTAATAAAATGCCAACATTACAAATAAAGCTCAATGATACAACATGTGAATGGTGTAAAAAGAGTTGTCAGTGAATTTTTGGCAGATGCCTTGTGGACCGGAGTTGCTTAACTTTTGGCAGAGGGCTAGTGCAACAGGGAATTGTATATGTTTCCCTGTTGCTGCCGCATTGCAAGTTTTCTTTATTAGGCTCGATCTCATCTCCGCTCCATTAGTTTCAGCAGGAGCTCGGTTCTACAGCAGTTTGTGTTCAAAGAAATGCCGCATTGCAGCTTTGCTTCAAAGATACCGACAGCGCGCTTTAGGTATAGATGCAAGTTTACATCACACAGTCATCTGGGCTTCTGTCTGCACAATGTCATTGGTGCCATGAAGAAAATGAGGACGTGCTGATGCATCTAAAAGTATAACAAAAGGGGGTCACAAAAAAGCCACTGTAATCAAACGGCCCCCAGGCTACTGGTCTGCTTTAATGAGCAAAACGTCCAACTGAGAGAGAAAATAAAAAGCGATTTACTATAATTCAGTCAAAGCACAAATAATAAAATGTACGCAAACAAGTGTTATATAAGTTGCATGTCCTTAAAGTATTGTAGGAAAAAAAGCTATCTAAAGTTAAACACTATTAAAAGATAAAGATAAGCTGAATGGCACGAAGGTTTTGATAAAATTGTGTGGTTAAGCTGCCACTGATACCAAAGTCTTGTTCCTTTGCGGAACAGTTAAACACTAATATTAAAGCTTGACCTTGCAGTTCACTTTTTCAATAGAAAAAAAAGAAAAAAAGAAAAGAAATTACATCATATTCCGAATTTACAGCCGTAGTTTAGTACTAAGCATCGATGGATTTATCATACTTCTAAATGTATCATTTCATTTAGCTCTGATTTCTACATAGCTTATTGTTTTTTGTGCATGGTGCATTAAATAATAATTAGTACCTAATAAGTACTTAAATGAGTTATTCAATGTGGCCATCAGATTATTCTGAAGAGTTACATAAATGAATAACATCTATGTCCTTGTTCTGCAACATGTTTGGTTACGAGGTTTTTGGCTGCGATTAGATGTTCAAATCAAGCGTGTAGCTTGAGAAAGGCGAAAGGCGCTAAGGGTCACCCTGTCTTAACTGATATGACAGACGTCTTGATAAGGCTCTGGCTGATATGGGTCTAAACGTGTGTATATAAAGCCTACTCGGATCCAAGCACAGTTGTATCCATCCAGCAGTGCGTTGTGTACAGGAGGCATCATGAAGTGTCTTGTAGCTGTTTTGGTCTGTGTGGTGCTCGCAGAGGGAATCGTCAAGTAAGGAAACTCCACCTCTTTGATTTTCAATTATGTGCTTGGTTTAAGATTATATATATATATATATATATATATATATATATATATATTATATATGCTTTCTCCTTCTTCAGGATCCCTCTGCAGAAGCACAAGTCCATGCGTGAGGCCCTGAGGGACAAAGGGATTGAGCTGCCTTACCAGGATCCAGCTCTCAAGTACCAGGCTGATGAGTTTGCTGGCTCTGCCAGCATGTACATCAATAACTACGCCGATGTAAGAAATCCTACGTTTAACTTTTACATACCTTTCAAACCATTAACTGATGGGTTTTTACTTTGTTTTATTTGGTACTTTCTTTACCTCACACCGATGTGCTCCTCAGACCACCTACTACGGCGCCATCAGTATTGGAACACCTCCCCAGTCCTTCCAAGTGTTGTTTGACACTGGCTCTGCCAACCTGTGGGTGGACTCTGTCTACTGCAACACCCAGGCCTGCAGTGAGTACAAACTAACAGGCTTTTCACTGCAAACTCCCTCACTTGTCACACTCTTCAAAACATTTGCATGTCATGAACTCCTCCTGAGGACCAAGCGAGCTGAACTTGTCGTCCTATTTCCAAGAGCTTAGATGTTGTACAGACATGGCACTTAATAGTTGTAGTGTAATTACAGGCATGCCAGTAAGCATTTGTTGGTCTTTGTTGGTCCCAGCAACTGCATCTGTAAAGATTCAGCACATGATTTCTATAAAAGTCAAACGACTCTGCAAGGCATGAGGGTATGTGGGGGGAAATGGCTCCAGAGATAATCCCGATCAATGCGATTCACAGACACACACACAAAGTTCAACCCCCAGCAGTCCTCTACCTACTCTGGCAAGGGACAGACCTTCTACCTGCCCTATGGAGCTGGAAGCCTCTATGGGACCTTTGGATACGACACCGTCAATGTGAGTCCAACAGGCCAAACAAAGTACATCACAATACTAACAGAATACTGGACTGGACTAGTCTTACAAAACTAAGACAGAGAAATGTTCAATATCACCTCTGTCAGTGATGTCTCACAGTTTAACTTTATCTATAACAATCTGTGCAGCAGCTTTTTATGTAGGTATTATGGGTTGAAACACAAGGAAATTCCCATTAATATCTGTCAATACCACTGAACAAGAAGAATAATACTAATGATGTATATCATCAACAGAGGTCTCACTTATGTAATGCAATCTACAGTCACACAGGCTGAGGCTTGACTACATATGACGACAGTCTACGAACTATTATCTTACTCACATATCGTATTATTTGGTTTTGGACCCTTAGGTTGGCGGCATTGTGATCAATAACCAGGAGATTGGTCTGAGCACAAACGAGCCTGGTCAGAACTTTGTGGTGGCAAAGTTCGACGGCATCCTCGGCCTGTCCTACCCGAGCATATCGGCCGGAGGAGAGACCCCCGTCATGGACAACATGATCAGTCAAAACCTGCTGAGTGCCGACATGTTCGCTTTCTACCTTTCCAGGTACAAGTGCCACAGTGCTTCTTTTGAGAGCCGTAAAATATTCCCTATGGATACACAGCCTCAGATGTTACTGTAGCCGATACATTTTGGCTTGTGGTCTGGTGTAGGGGAGGACAGCAGGGCAGTGTGCTGTCTTTCGGAGGAGTGGACAACAGCTTGTACCAGGGTCAGATCTACTGGACCCCTGTGACCTCTCAGACCTACTGGCAGATTGGCGTTAACGGGTCAGTGCTTGTCAACAGTTCATCAACATGTCTAGTGATCTTTGATTGAGATCACTGATTGAGAGTGCAAGAAGAAACTAAAACTCTTTCCATATTTGGTAAATTGCAGATTCCAGATCAATGGTCAAGAGACCGGCTGGTGCTCTCAGGGCTGCCAGTCCATTGTGGACACGGGAACCTCCGCGCTCACCGCCCCAAGTCAGTTTCTGGGTTCCATTATGCAAGCCATCGGAGCTCAACAGAACCAGTATGGACAGGTACGACCAATGGAACGACGGACACACACACTTACTCTGATGCTATTATTCCCCATGAAGATACAGTTCTCTCTACATTCAAAAAGTCATCATGAGCGCTGCAGTTCACGGGTGCAAAGAAAATCTGACCATGAAAAGAGAAGCGGGAATGTTATGAAGATTTGTACAAATTGGGCCTTCTTGTTTTGGTCTGACTTTCTGTTGCCATCAAACAGTGTCTCTTTTTTGTCCTGATCTCCAGTACATGGTGGACTGCAGCCAGATCAACAACCTGCCAACCTTCAGCTTTGTTATCAGCGGTGTGTCTTTGCCTCTGCCTCCCTCTGCTTACATCACTCAGGTAAGTCACTACATGCATGCATAAATGAGCAGGTGTGTGTGTGTGTGTATGCCAGATTTTTGTCGGCCTGTGTGGACGTTTGAAACATTTCAAATCTCTTGTCTCTGTTCTCCACGTCTAGACCAACCAGAACGGATACCAGTACTGCTCAGTGGACATCTCCCCCACCTACCTTCCCTCTCAAGATGGCCAGCCCCTGTGGATCATGGGAGATGTGTTCCTTAGAGAGTACTACTCCGTCTACGACCGCAGCAACAACCGCCTGGGCTTTGCTGCAGCTGTCTAAGGGTCCTCAGCGTAACCTGACTGTTGACCTTATCAGAAAATAATGATTTAGTCCCCTTTAAACACTGCCTAATCATGATCTTAAACATATTTTCTGGTAGAAATTTATAAGCAATATTGGTCTAAATGTCTTTTATTGTCCATTCTCAAATTGAAAGGTGTTGGATTTGTATATTTAAATTGCATCACACTCAAGCAGAATAAAAGGTTTTAACGCAAATATTTCAGAGATTTCGTCTTTCTAAATGAGCAATCATCATCTTTTCAGCACTTTACCTGATTAGAGGGAGACCAAAGGGGTTTCGGGCCCTTTATTATTAAGTGTGTCTGTTTGGGTCCCAAAACAATTCTTCTTAAATGTCTTTTTAAATGTCCTACAATCCTAGGACTCATTATGTCATACAACTAATGGTTGGACTGATATTCTGATTGACAAATAATTTGAAATATGGAATAATAATTCTAATTTTCATTGAGAAATTCCGCTATGGTTGTATTTTGGTTAAGTATGGGAAAGACAACAAAATTCATTTGAATTTTGACACCACATATGCATGCGCATGCGAACCAGTTATTATCTCTGAGATGGTTTGTGTCCCTTTCTCAAACATTCAGCATAATTTGGATCTCAGAATATCACTCAGTGAGATGCAGCCACCACTGCAATGTCGACACTTCCTGTCGGTGTTTAGACAGCATCAAAGTCAGTGTGCAGTTCCTGTCCCACCATGTTGTGCACAACTCACTGCTCATCCGACAGCACACTGTCACATCCTTTGCATGCACGACACCGCTGCTTGTGAACATTCTCAATAATTAAGATGTGAAACTGAGGCTTAGCAGAAAGAAAAAAGCTCATCCTCCACTGTGAGGGTCTGCAGGTACGCTCCTTCTTTTCATTTCCCCACTGCCATCCTCAGGCTCAAACGATCTATCGAGCCCACATTCGCACAAACAGTTACTCTCAGCCGTCCCTGTCACGACCAGACCATGAATAGTCAAGCCTGAACACTGTCATCTCTGCTTCTATAAATCTCTCAGAGTTTTGCTGTGTGCCATATTTCATTACCAGCATCTATTCAACACACTCTCTCATCTCTGGAATACATTCATCATTTAAGAAGTTTTTCAGGCAACAGAGGCAAACATTAGATTGGTAGAGATTTTGAAATGTGAGAATTTGCTGCTTTGTCATAGGCCGGAACTTTTGCGTCGGTATAGGTTTTGGACACACGCACAAAAGTTGCAGATGGACATTTTTCTTTTCTTTTTTATTGACCAATTATCAAAATAAGAAAATCATCATTAGTTGCACATATCCAAACACTATCTTTAAACAACCCCAGTGAGTGGAATCACAACAAAGTAATATGCATTTGTACATATATATATATATATTATATATATATATATGTATAACAACATGAGAAGAATTCATAAAGAAACGGTCCTCTGTAATTAAGCTGCCTTTCAACCATTAGCGCCTGCTTCCGGGTGACACCATCATCATCTCCTAAAGCAAAGGACATCTGATGTGTTACTGCTATAGACTCAATAACAAAATCAATTTCCCAGGCTTTTTGCCCACTATCAGTTGTCAGTGAGACACACCCTCACGCAGACACATGACTTATACGTTCAACCTAACGGAGCACTCTCTGTTGTCAGATCAAAAGCTGCATATCGTGTCGTCTTCGAACCAAAGGTTGAGATGATCATCGGTTCACTCAGAGCTGTTTATTTCAAGTTGATTTGGTTGTATTTTAATTTAAAAGGCCGTCCAACGTGAACCAACGTGAACATTGATGGGGACAAATCTCATGGACGGCGTAAAATTGAAGTAGAAATAGAAAAACAATTCTTTAGCAAGAACCGCTGCAGTTATCGACATGCAAGAAAGGGTTGGTTGTCCACAGAGTGTGTGAGACCGAGAGAGAAAGAGAGGAAATACACAAATGCAAAGACAGAAGATAGAAAGACAGAAATGCAGCAGGAGGTAGACGGAAATGGAACACTTGCTAAAATGGATCCGTATTGGATTTAAGCTTCTTACCCTACGGTGAAATTATTGACGTACTATGACGGAATAGACACAAGCATATGAAATGTGTATATACGTTATCAAGTTGCTTCGTTGTTGAATCGAGGTCTACAATGTGATGGTTTCAATGATTGATTTAATTATTCATCAGCTATTCAGAAAGAAGTGAAAAATGTCTCTCACGGTTTTCTACAGCCCAAGACTATGGGTTCAAATTTTTTGTTTATTCTGTTGCCAACTTAAATACATTATTTGTATTGTCGTAGGAGACTAGGAAAATTAGAAATCACCTACATTTGAGAGGATGTACGAAGTGTTATGATGAAATGACACGTAATTTAAGTGTTAAGTTTGAAAAGCTTAATAAATAATAACAAGTTCCTTACTTCTAACGTTCCTCTACTTCTCACAGCCTTGTTTTGGTGGCATCTCTCTAATGTAAAGTGATGTAATGTAATCTCTCCAGTTAGTGGATAATAATAATAATAATAACAATACTTTCGCCGTTATAGCGCTTTGGTACCCAAAGACGCTTTAAGAGACGGTGTTTTGCACAAAGCAATAGTTTACCTACTCTGATAAACAACCACATGGCTCCAATCTATGAGCCGCTGGGATTCATCATTCAGCACACTTGGACCAGTACAAATAAGTTCATATTAGAGACAATATGATATTCTCTAACTAAAAAAAGTAAAAGGTTACATTAATTATAAAGCGCACCATTTTGCTATAAAGGTGATGTGTGTCTTTTGAGGTTTGTGTTTACAGTGAAAAGAAGGATCCCTCAGCGCAGGAGAAATGTCTGTGATACATTTCTGGAGCTCAGGAGAGAAAGGCGGGCTCCCGCTCGGATTATGTCGCCCATTGGAAACAATGTTGGGGTTATGTAAGGCAGATTACTGTTCCACACCATTACACCGCTGGTGGTTTCATCCATGAATCAGTCACACACAAAAAAACATTGACACAAGGGAGGAACACACGCACACACAGAACAATTATATATAATAAACAATGCACTTTCCATGTAGAAAAGAATTCTACAATCTAATTTAATATTTAATTGACTAGCATCATTGGTAAAATTGATGATGCAAAGCTGTCACAAAACGAACACAAATAATGTGTGTACTATCAAATGCACACAAAAGTAATTGAGACAACAGAGACACAACTGATCACTGTTTAAGTCGTTGAGTTAATGAAAGCAAGACCTTGAGAAAAGAAAGAGTTCTCCATTATTTATTATTATTTGATTAATAAAACAGCTTGCTACAGTTCTTTGCAAATGCTGTCAATTTAATATTTTGATGTAACGACCAAAGCTTGCCCCTGTGCTCTGTACTAAGGTCGTTGGTAGTCATGCAAAATATCAGGTCTATTGATCTGATATTATCTGGCGATGAGAGGAAGCTTACAGTGTGTAACTAGATCCCCCACACGAGTGCATTTTGTGAGTATGTAAAATCCACTGGGGCCTGGCTTGCTAATGTGATTGCGTTCCGTCAAGATATCGGACATGTGGAGGCAGACAATGAAATGTGGCATTACAGCCTGAGAGATTGGCTCTGTTATGGTTGAGGGAGGCCATGTATCCACAGCACCAGGCCATTATTGCACAGGAAATCAAATAGAAATAAGAGGACTTTCTCTTTCTATAAAAAAACACCCCTCAGGGCAAAGCAGATCGGAACATTGCAGCAAAACAAATAAACGACCTTGGAGGAAAATGCTAACTGTCACTAAGTCTGCGCTAGTGTGTGAAACATTATCAATAGGACTTCCGCAAATGACTGTTCAGCAAACATGCAGCTGCCTGCATGCACCCAGCAGGGCGTGGGCCTCACGCACAGAGAATGCGCAGGGCGGCTGCCCGACGTGACAGCTCCTGAGCCACCAGCACCTATTGAAGGCCTGGCAGGTCACAACATCTAGCAGTCATTTCCTCTAGTCGTCAACCATGTGCACCCCCCCCCCCCCCCCCCGGCCTGGCCGCGGCTTTTTTTTTAAAAATGGCTCTTCCCTCCAACGAGGGGGGGGAGGGAAGGATGTGGGGAAGGAAGAAACTCTCGGCCGTTCGCGCTTTCTTTTGTCAACAATTGATTCGATCGAACAGGAGGGATTAAAGGGAGTGGTGGGGTCCATTCACAAGACCAGTGATGGGTGACAGAGAACAAAGCCAGCCTTGGGGCACAAAATCTCTCTTCTCGCGACCCCACAGAGGCCCCCCACTGGCCGCGAGCTTTCATTCAGATGAAGCTGCAGAAGGAATATAAATCTCCAGTTAAAGATCAACACAAGGGGGGGGGGGGGGTGAAGGCAAACAAAAGGGATCTTCAGAGATTTTGCACAAGACCGCTGAAACTGAAATGCAACCCAGTTCCTCCTGCTCCTGCCAGAAAGTAGAGCGCAGAGCAAGACCGCGGTCGTCCTTTTCCCTCGTCGAATGTCCGCCTGTGGCACACGACGGATACGCGGCGGCAGTGCGGAGCCAGAGGAGGGAGCGGGGGGCGACGGGGGGCGGGGTGCAGTGACGTTATAACGTCAGTGTCTTTAGCGAGTGAGCAGGGCTGTCCTGAGCGGATACGGGCAGGACAAGCGGCAAGACAGTGCTGTAATATATATTCCCGGCCTTCAATTATCATTCATTTTGGCCATTCAATTTGCCATTACCGTTTATTTTCCTTCCATTTGCCACTTAATCGAAGTGAGTAATCGATTATTGAATCACACCCCAGACATTGTGGGCCGTCATATTGTACTGTGTTATACTGTATATATGTTGTCATTTTGCAGATGTTCCAGTGTGGAGCTGTTCACCGCCTGTGGTGCTGAAGGGTACTGTATTTTGCTAAACTGCAGGGTACCATATTTTCCACACGGGGGCGCCAGATGTTTAATGACTGAAAAGCTCAGAAGTATATTTATAGTGTGCTTGGACTTTGGTGATTTACCAGGCCATTTACCAACATTTATTTTATTTTTGATAAGTTGATTACATTTATTTAAGTAAATGTCCTTGTTTAAACTGAACTATTAACAAGAAGCAAGTGAATAGCAAGTGAATATGGACCAACGAGACTGTTTATTTTGATGGCCATAGCTGTCACAGGGAATTGACTCAAACAACCATCTTCTCTGCAATGTTGATGGGACCCAGGGTGACATCACCTTCCCA